CATTGATGGAATTGAAAAAACCAATTGCACCAATTATCAAATGGTTAGTATTGAAGCGGAATAGTAATGGTGGATTTGCGTCGACCTTCGAAACTGAGGTGGGACTGCGCGCCTTGGCCACCTATGCCGCCAAGTACAAGGAAATGGATAGCAGTTTGAAGATTGATGTGCTTGCGCAAGGGCAACTGCTACAAACCTTCGAAGTTGGTGAAAACAGTACAGATCTTAACAAAAAAATTCAGGTAAATTTATTTACTAAATAATCTGGGGATAAGCACCTGATTAGTTAAATAACATTTGTTCCCTCTTATTTCAATAGCTTCCCAAGCATATACGAGAATTAGAATTCAACTCAATTGGCAAGGGCAAAGCAACTTTACAAATTAATTATCGCTACAATAGCTTGATACCTGAGAAAATCGTTTTCGAAGTAAACTCCTCGATCTCCAATCCATCGGCTATAAGAAAAACTTTGGAAATCTGCGCACATTTACATTCCATTCATGTGGAACGCACTGGCATGGCGGTTATGGAAGTGAACTTGCCGACTAGCGAACAGGTAGCGCCTAATTGCTGCAACCTCAGCTATACCAAGCGAACAAAGGTAAGAAGACAAATGAAAATATTGAAAAATGTTTTTTTTTTTTACTTTACGGCTTCACCTTCTACTAAAGGTGTCTTAACATCTGTCAAATTTCTGTTTAACTTTGTCCCGCTTTTTCGTGTGGGCAAATTGCTGTCTTCACATATCACTTTCAAAATGGCATCAAGCCAATCAGAGCGATCTGTACCCAATATAACTGGCGCGGTAAAATGAAAACTAAGTTGTCAAGCTACGAAATGACAGCTGAGGTTAAGACAGCGATGGCAGGAAATTCGGCAAGACAAACATGGTTTAACAGTGGAAATTTGCGATCTCCACCTGACATTTCTGTCTTAACACAGCTTTTTTTAACAGAATCCGTAGAAGGTGGAGACGTGGGGTAAGGCTGTACGCTGTAGCGTACGTAGTGCATAGGGCGACATCTACCTCTCAACCGACGAACTTTGCAAAGCAAAGGTTTTATAGCTTCAAATGGTGTCTGGACACACAAGATTGCAAGTTGATACAAGCGCTGTAAAATACAGACAAAGAATACGATTGAGAATGAGGAGAAGATGGAGGTGCAGGTGAAGATGAGGATGAAAATATTTAAGATTCAGATTTTAGGATTATGATTAAGATTAATATCGAGTTTTAGGGGTAAAACTAAGTTTATAAAATTTGTTGTGACTTCTTAATTGATGAACTTTACGTGTATTTCTTTGCTATTTTTTAGATGATAAAACGGTCAAAATCTAATCAAAAACTGGACATTTACTTCGAGGGATTCTCAAAGGATTCTAGTGATTGTCTACATATACCAATGGTGAAAGTTTATAATGTAACAAATCAAAAAGCAGGTTCAATTGTTATTTATGATTACTATAAGAAAAATTCTATGGATAAATACTTTTATGAACTTTAGACGAAAAAATTAAATATTTATGGCCTTATTCATAAAAAATACAATAGGTTTAAAGAGCTTTATAAAGTGACTTCTTCATACAAATTTTCGATTTATAAAGCAGCAAAAGTGTATTTTATTTTTTTATCAATTTGGGTGTTAGATTTTATGTCTATATGTTAATATCTAAGTAAAAAGTTCAAAGGATGTATGTAAAGTAAGGCAATAAAAGAAAAAAAAGAAAACAGATCCTCAGCCATATAAATGGCTAAATATGATAAAATTTACTATCTGAACAATCAGTNGTTTCATTTGTCTAAAGTCTAAGGGATATACATAGTTCTTAGCGTTTATTATTTTAAGAACATATTTTTTTAATTTCATTGAATTTTTAGAAACTTATTTGTTTTTTTTTTTCTTTTCTTAATTTTATTTTAGATTATAGATATTATTTTAAAAATAAAAATATTTGTTAGTCTCATTTTATATTTAGGACTTTATTATATTTAAATATTATTATTTTTTTTAATTTTTATTCGTCTGTTTTAATTTAATTTTCTTCTAATTTCTAGATTATATTATTTTAGCAAAAGAAAATATTTCTTTCAACTCTATTAAATTTTTAGCAACTTATTTCAATTAATTTTTTTATCGTTTTTGTTTTCTGTTTTGATAAATGAGCGCGAACGGCAAATATTTGGCATTTATTTTGTCAACAGCAACAGAAAAATGTCGTAAAGTATTTGTTTCTGTTTCTGCTGCAAATGTACCGATTCCTGTTTCTGTTGTTGTTGACATCAGGATTGCAGAATTCGGTTTATGTGACAGTGCCAATCAAGAAGAAGAAGAAGAAGAAGAAGAAGAAGAAGAAGCATCATAATATTTATTTGGGGAATCCTCTTTTTAGTTATCCATGGTAATTCAAAATTAGTCATAACGAAATGAAAAACAAAAGCGGAATTTATAATTTTAGAACGTTCAACTTTTCGAAATGAGTAAGCTTTTACTACACTTGAAAGGTGTAAAAAAACTGATAAATCGCTGCATGTCTAAAGGTAAAGGGAGAATATATTGAAAACCAAAATGCCAGTTAATTCAAGTAGGTTCTTGACCTATCAAACCGCGCTCGTACCAAGTATAACCATGGATCAAAACCAAGAAAAGCGCATCAGAAGCTTTATATAATCACAAATATATATATGATCATTTGAAGCTTTCAAACTTAAAGTTTGCAGCAGAATAAACTTTGCATGCAAACACAACGCCACACTAACACAAAGCGCAACTTAAAGCTAGCGCGCCAACGTTCAAGCCAGTTTCTGGCGCCGACACTTAACATGGTCAGTTAAATCAGTAACGATTCAGAGCGCGGCAAGTGAGCAACACAAGTTTCGCAAAAACCATTGATACGCAGGCGCAAAGTATTAAACGAGAGCGGTCGGACAATCGGACAAGTGAGTTAGTAAATCAGTGGAATAAGTGCAAGTGGGCTAAGTGAATGTGAATATATTACAAAATTCAAGTATTGCAAAATATATAACTACTCTACTGTACATACTACATACATATAAATGAGCATACAAAGTTGCGCTTAATCAATAAGTCAACGAGTTTGGCTAATTGTAAATAGCCAAAAAATTGTGAATGGTGGATAAGTGAAGAAGTTTTTGTTTCAGAAGAGTGGCGAAGCAAATCATTGTGCCACCAGTAGTCGTGCAAATATTAATGTGGGTGCATACACACACACACACACACATACGCACACACATACGCACGCATTAGGTCACTGTCATACAACAAAGCCCAAACGAAGCATTGACCACAAAAAATATATAACAGAAATAAATTTTCGATGCTGAAGAAATCATAAAGGCAAAGTGTGTGCAAAAGCCGTAGCGAGTGTTGAATGTCAAACAATACTAAGTAGGCAAAAACAAAAAAACAAAAAAAAAAACAACGATTATTATACAAACACTGAATAGTGCAAGTACACAACAACAACAAACAAGCAAAAATATGTTACGCTATCGGTATAGAGCGACGCCGTCGCCGTCGCCGCCGCCGCCGCTTAACTGCTTCACATTTGTTTTGTTCTTCTTCGTTGGTACTTTGGTGCATTGGACGCAGTTGACTGCTGGTCAAGGGTTAGTATATCGCGCCATGAAGACATTAACATTTGTATGCATGCATGTACGTAGGTTAACTATTTAGTATGTATCGTTAAAGTTAAGAGCGAAATGTGATGTGAAAACGCGTACATACATACATAAAAAAGACAAAGGAATGCAAACATGAATGCATGACGAATGAAGCGATTAACGAATGGAATGAATGAGTACCTAGCTAAGTAGTCAAAAGAGAGCAAGGAGGCGTTACTTGATAGATTCATTTTTACATATGTATATATGTAAATATTTTTAAGAAGCTAAATATATGTATGTGCCATTCTCGTTTAGCGCTCTATTGTAACAGCTGTCATCTGAGGCTCGCTAATTGTGCTTATATACATAGGTATATGTCTAATTAACTATAACTTGTTATTTGTCACTCTAAACTCTAAATGTGTAATTGACGCATTCCTCTCTGAGTCATTCTAAAAATTTTGCAAAATATCTTGTTATTTGCTTTGCTGTTTGCTTTTGGGGCATTAAGTGATCTCATACCCAGCAGAGAACCCTACCAAACAACATATGCACACACATACATATGTATGTAGGTAGATGCACGCAACGCATCGCTTCGCTGCGAAACAAAAGACTTAAGCGACAAGCGCGCAAATACGTACATATATGTACATACATACAGTGGCGAAAATATAAATAAGGAAGAGACATTTTAGCATTCTTTGGCTATTTCCCTATCGAATATTTAACTTTTGTTATTTTTTGTGAAAGTTCAGCTCGTTTTCTAACAAAAACCGTGTAAGTAAAAATTTTAAACTTTGTCATCAAAATTTTGAGCTTTTTAATTAGGTTTCCTGGAAATATTCTGAGTATGCAGTTTTGAAGCCCATTCAAAAATGAGTCACCCCAAGTGCAAATTTTAAGTAACTAGGATTTACAGTTTATTTTTGGCAATTTTTTTATGGAAGGTGTTGCTTATTTTCTCCATATAAAAAAAAATTGCCGAATTCGCGAACAAAAAGTTGCCAAAAATCAGCAGTAAGTCCTAGCTGCTTCAAATATTTATGCACTTCAAATATTTATGCACTTTATTACACTAAAGTTTAATGGGTTATAAAACTCCATACTCGGAAAAGTTCTAAAAAATGTCATTAAAAATTTAAGATTTTTACCAACATTTGTTAAAGTGCAAAAGTGACTATTTAGCTGAACAAAAATCGAAAATTATAAATATCTATAAAAATACGTATGAACGTTCCTTAATGTTTGACTAACTAAGGGCCAGTAATAGTTATGAAGCACTTGCTTTATGTGCACCGCAAGTATTAAGTAGAGATCTGCACAGGAAGTGCACTTGGATATACCCAAACAATAAGTGATCTATAGTGCTTATAATAACTATATTACACCCACACATTGACCAGCTTTCGTTATAAATTTCTTTTATTATTTAATTTTAATAATTTTTTTTATATAAACATATTTCATTCTATAGCAAAAACCGCAAAACACAGAACTTCAATCTTTATACAAAAATTCAAAAAATTTAACAAAGTTTCAAAAAAATTTCACACTTATTATTCAGAACTTTTAGAAACTTTTTGGATATGCAATTCAATTCTAGGTGACAGAAAACCTCTCTGCGGGGTACCTTAGCTCACACTACGCTGGAAAGAGGCTGTGACTGTTCGCTCGGTGAGCATGCGGGAGACAAGCCTATTTGAGTTTATGTGTACAGTTAGAGGTACATAATTTCAAACTGAAAATTTACTTTATTAGAAAGATATTTTTATGTCATTAATTTCGTGTATGTAGGCGCCGCGGCCGCACAGTCGGCGATTTGCCAGCTAGCGGCAAATAATAATTTTAAAAGTAAATTAGACTTCTTCAATCGATTTTTTTTTATTATCGGAACAAAAAATTAATTGTTAAAATTATTTTTTTTTTTGTTTGATAAACATTTTTCGTTCGTTACTCATTTCTTAAAAAAAAAAATTACAAAAAATGCATACATATTTACAAAAGAAAAAAATTACTTTAAAAGTAAATTAGATATCTTCAATCGATTATTTTTTTATTATCCGAATAAAAAATTAATTGTTAAAATTAATTTATTTTTTATTTTTTTTTGACAAATATTTTTCGCTCGTTACTCATTTCTTTAAAAAAAATTACAAAAAATGCATACATATTTACAAAAGAAAAAAATTAGATATCTGAGCTATCAGAGTCCTTAGCAGCAAGCTCATAAAAACTTTTTCACCATATAATACTTTTTTACAAATTAAATGTGTAGTTAGTGCGACCTTTCATATACTGTGTCTAAGCGCCAGACTTAGGATGACTTGCGCAACTATCTAATACGTGCGTATGCATATATTTGCATGCAATTAAAAATAAAAAGTGGAAAAAACAAGAACTAAAATTAGTGAATACCGCCAAGCGATTTAATGTTTCGATTTCTTAGCGTAATAGGCAAACAGTTACAATTTTATGTTACTATGTGTGTATGTTTGTAGTTGAAAGCTTACAAGAAAACGTACATATTTTTGTAGGTGCTTTTATGGTAGTTTCGATTTTATGTTCCCACACGTTACCACTAAAAATTTATATATGCAAGTCCATACATACATACGTATTTATGTCCAAGCATTGTATGCATATTTATGTAGGTACATACATATAATTTGCAAAAGTACTTACATATGTATCTGAAAAAATCTCATTTTCCGGCAAATTAAAAGTACGCCAGTATTAAAATAAACTTGTGAATGAATGAACAGGTGTATTTAGTAGCCAGCTGCGAAGTATATGTATGTACATATCTACATACGTATTTATATAATAAGAACCAGAAGAAGTGGGTTGATATCAACTTTTCGGACTTCAAATACTATGTATGGGAACGTTAAAGGTGGTAGACCCACAAAAATACTTGTATATGTATGTATGCTAGGGCGGGTCAATTTTTTCTTTTGACTATTTATGCGCGTAGAGATTAGGAGAATCCTAATTGTAAAAAAAATTTCTGAGTAAACCATGAGTATAAAACCAATTTGGAGTTTGCCAAATTACGAAAATATGTAGGTTTCGAACAAAATTTGAAAATTTTCACTGCTGCACCCTCTCGTAGAAGTTTTAAGAAAAAGATTGATTCCTCATACCAAAACAAATCCTTATAGCGGGTGTTCATAAAAAATTTAACCACTTTTTTACGACACTACAGCAAAATGCTAACAAATCTATTTTCGCAATTTGGTTAAGAATAAAAAATAACCCTCAAGCACATTTTCAGTTGGGACTTATTGTTGGCATGAATTTGGAGCTTTGGAGTGTTCACAGACTTTCAGTAGAATTTAATGGCAAATATTTTTTGTAAAACATTTTAACTCATTATATCCCTCTTTTATGTGTATTTTTTGCTCACCTGTCGAGGAGTTATAGGACGAAAATGTTCTACAGAAATACAGGAACTTTTTTTGTTAAAAATCTATATCTCGAAGACGGCAGGACAAAAATAAATTTTTTTTTAAATCTGGGATGGGAAAAAATCGATGATGCAAAAGATAAACGTTGTCCGAATCGAGCTGGAATGCCCCATATACATGAGTAATAAATAGCATGTTGTTCTTACACTTATTATTACAATTAAAGTTCTCTAAAGTACATATTTTAAACGCCTACAATTTAAGTTAAGCGCAAAAATTTTGACTGTACAAATTGCACTCGAAAATCTATGGAAGTCTAGTTTATTTGGGCAAACTGTTTAAAAAAAAAATAAAATTAAAAAAAAAACGTGTTAATCATCAGGTCTTTTATATTTTTAGGGTGCGTAGGTTGCACTTTTAGCATTGCGGAATTAACTGACGTACACGCCAACACTGCGTTAGTATTTTTTTTTTAATTCTGACATTCCGATTTCATATCTTTTTTGCAATTGCTGCTGAATTATTTTTATAACAGTTGAAAAGCAATATATTTTTCACTTAAAAATTCGCTTGACCAACTAAAGTTCAAAAAATCAACCAGATAAAATTATTTAATTTAAATAATTTTTTAGCACTCAAAAGTTACCAATGTATTCAATTTCATTCGAGCTTAGCCATTTTTCGCTTCTTGCATAATCATTGCGCAAGCGCTTGTGGAAGCTGCTTATGAACTGCTTTTTGCTGCAATTTCTATATATGGAAGGCTGTTGCTTGGCTTGATTGATTTGTGAGAAAGAATGTTTTGATATTGTCTCAAACGCTGTGAAAAAGTGGTTTTCGTGCTTTCGTTTTAAGCGTATGACATGCTTTTGATATTAAACCAAATAAATTTTCGATTTGCTAAAATTTTCCATTCAAAAAAGTTTCCCTGGTTCATTTAACTTTTGGCCTACTTATGAGCTAAAATAGTTACAATAAGTACTGCATAGGTGTCTTGGCTCTAAATTACAAAGTTGATTCATAAAAATATACCGTAATCATTAGCCAATGCTGCTTATTTTTTGAATTTTTTATTTGCCATATCATTCTTTTTTCTTCATTTCCTTTTTGTCTATGTAGTTTACGCCCACCTTTTTTGTGTTCTAACATACTTTTCTGACATTTCTTATTGTTATTGATCTGTCCAAAAATGTTTGAAGTTATACATATGTATGTACACTAGGGCGGTCCAAAACCAGTAAAGTCGGAATTGTAATGCCGAATTTCCGCTAGGCATTGAAATGACAAAAAATTCATGCCATTTAAAAAAAATGCCATGTGGAAATGAACTTACAGACTATGTTTTTAATGTAATGACACGATTATTTTTTAATGCCCGACT